CCCAATTAATTAATATTTACTTAGAAATAAAAATTTTGTACATGAACCTATTTGCTGAGCAAAATTTAATAAATTTCGAGCACCTTATCTTTGGAATAAAATTGCTATACCTAATTTTGATATATCCAATACATTTCCGATCTTTAAAAGTAAACTTTAATTTAAAAAACTAAAATTAAAAAACTTAAACTAAAATTAAAAAACTTTTATTTTATCTATTGATGATGTATTTAAAAACTTTTTATAACAATCACGTATTTGTCTTTTTAATTGTAAGACTGTTGTATTTTCTCTTGCCTATTAAAAAGAGATGTATCACTGTATTTAGTTTGTATATATATGTATTTATATATTTACGTTTTTATAAGATCTGATATTATGATCAGACTTTTTATTATATGTAACATTAGTGGTTTCATTTATATTTCCAATTTATATCAAGATTTATTGTAATTGTTTTGTTTTGTTAATGTATTGATTTTTATAATTTTGTAAAAGGTTTTTTAAATGATAAGATCATTATGATCTTCTTTTCAGCCTTTTCAGTCTCTTTATCTTTGTAAACAACGACAAAACCGAAAAAAAAAATAAATAAAAAAAATAAAGAAACAGATATGCTTGTAATTACAACAGAGCACATTAAAAACATTTTAGTACAATAATAGCAGTTTTCACATTATTTAAAAACAAGTTTGTCATCAAATTTTTATTTGAAGACTTAAAAAAAAATGTACAAAGTAATATCCGGTATATCCGACCGTGTATATTATATATTCGACAGGATAACGAATAATAAAATATCCGGTTTTAGTATCCGGTACACCTCTAAATTAAATGAACCCAAAATTGCTTAATTTATTAGATACGAGGTAATTGTAACAGTTTTAGAAGGTGAAGATTTTAGGGACACATATGAAGAATAATTGAATCATTGACGCAAAGAATCATTGCTCGTGATACCTACTAATAGAGTTTATTTTATTTGATTAATTCTAATTGCATTTTTTTTATTTATATTTAAAAAATAATTTAGTTTAATTTTTATTTTTTTTATTTTGTGATTACTATGCCTATAGTTATACTATAAATAAACAAAATATTTTTTTGCATTTTGAATTTTTTTCACCTGTTAAAATGACACTGTGCGCAGATAAAATTTTGCAACTTGAGCCTGAATGAAAAATGAAAAATTTTAACATGAATGAAAAATGACTTTCAAAAATGAAATTCTTGCTCGCATATAGGCTGAGAGTTTCTAATTAGGATATTTAAGTATATTATGATTGTTTACGTACGCATTTTGACAAAAATTAATATTACAAATTACTTTTAAATCATCTTATTGTAATTTGCATGATGTTGTAAATGCTTGTGCCGGTACTTGTTTAAATTTATTTATGTGTTTACATACGATATATTAGTGATTCATTTATGTGTTTACATGTGATATATTAGTAATTCATTTATGTGTTTACATATGAAATATTAGTGATTCATTTATTTGCATTTAATATTTTTTAGGCGCTTATGCGAAAAAAAGTTTAGAATTGTGTTTGTATATGATCGGCTTTTTAGCAGATGATCTTTTTTTAACTCTTTTCAACCAAATCTTTACTTCAAAAAACTTTTCACACGAAAACTAAAATTAAAGAAGTTTATTAAACTTTTGGCGGCTCAGTTATAATTTCTTTATTCCAAACTAGCGGGTTTGTTTAAATTATTTATAAAAAAAAAATTATCATTATATTTTAAATCCGAGTATTATTTAAGTCAAAAGTATTTTGTTTTTTGGTATTAAAAAATACCTTATTCAACCATAGAAAAAAAAAGACTCGACTGAAAATGATTAAAAAGCAATAATGTGTGGCGACACCATAAACTTTGCGGCAGTTAAATAAAGTGTTAAACGTCTAATCGAAGCTTTGCTATTTACTTTCCAGCACTTATCGTCAAACCGTAAAGTTTGCAATTGTTTTAAAAACGTTACACTATTTATTAATGACTAGCTGAGATCGGCCCCGTAAAAATATGGGTCTTTGTTTATCTATGCAAACCGAACTTTCCTATACTTTTTCCTTATATATTCTAGCCTTTCCAGGTTCCGTAAATTACAGGTCTTTACCAATTTACATATCTATTTCTAGCCGAAAATTTCTATACCTATTCCTTATTTACTTTAATGTTTTTTAGTAAAATAATTTATTCTGAAAAAAAAAATTAAGAGCAAAAACTAAACATGCGCATACGTAGAGCTTATTAGAGGCTTATAATTAGAATTGTTTTTCTGCTAAATGCATTTCATTAATAGTGCAGTGGTTAAATGCGCTTTCATTAGTATTGTTTTGGAGGGTTTAAGGCCTCCTCTTGGCGTAAAAAACTTTGAAGTTTTTTTAATTTTGCTTATATAATTATTGCAAAAAAATAAGAATATAAAAAAAAAGATTTCTAAAATTTAAATAAAATTTTTCAAGTTTTCTCATTTTATAGATTTATAGATATACGCGATTATTTCATAAAATGCCTGCAAACTCAACATAAAGACGTTTACACTTAGATAAATTTGTACGCAATGCTATACAAATAAAATTAAGAAGATCTAAGAGTACTAAACTAAAGTCATGAAAAAAAATCAATTCTTATAATTAAGAACTAAAAGTATAATATAAAACGCTTATCTTAAAGTTAAGTTAATGATTTTGGGCATTAATGTCAGTTTGTGGCAAAATAAACCTTTATGCGTCAAGTTTTCTTATGCATTTATCTTACATTTTTTTAATAATTTTTATTATGTTGCATACAAATGCATTAAAATTTATAAAACTGGTACAGATATATCATTTTCACGAATAATGGATTGTATTTATTACAATAGTAATAAATAAATAATTTTTGGGCCCTTTAAACAATAGCTTATCAGTCAAACAGTTTGTGGAGTATTTTGATAATGGTGTAATAATGATAATAAAATGGTGTCATAAACAGTGTTTGAAGTTGTTGATATAACAAACAGATTTATATCAAACAAAAACTATAAATGCCTTGACAACTCAACTAATAACTCCGCATATCTTAATGAAAATTCTGCTATGAAATTTATCTCTTTCTATCTATTCTATATGTTTCACGATAAAAATGTATTTATATATAGTTTACCTTTGGTAAATTATATATAAATACATTTTTATCGTGAAACATATAGAATAGTAAAAGGAATGTTTTGGAATATTAAAGCATGTTTACAACCTGTTTTTATATTCCAAAACATTCCTTTGTAAAGGTATAGTATAATTCTATTTTTTTTTTTTTTTTATTAAATTTGTTTTGCCATGTATGGATATATACATACAATCAATATCTCAGTATAACCGGGGCAAGAAGAATTTGATTTTCACCAAGCCTCGAGAATTGACTCAGCAAAACAAAATTAGAAAAAATAAAATGTTGGTTTAACTCTTTTAAGATAAGAATAAATAAAAAGATGCTAATTAATTAAGATTAAATATTAATTAATATTATTAATCAAAAGTAAAGTCGATAAGGATCTGAATCTCTCCATAAAAAATATATATTTTTAAAAATATAGGTTATGATTCTCCCAAAGTGAGAATAGGTTGGAAAGATAAACTTTATAATAAATTATTTGTACTACCAGATAACTTTAAAAGAAGTCATTCACTCCGTCACTAATCGGAAGCATTTGTTTCAATTTTGCTTTTTGATGAAAATGTTATTACCAATTAAGGTAGATTTGTAAGGCAATAAAATATTTTGTTCTATTGTCTGACAAATCTTTTTAAATACGTTATAGTAAATGAATTTTCACAGATGATTGACCAATGCTCCAAATAAAAGTGTTTTAAAAAATTCTAAAATTTTGTTAAATCAAATCAGGGGTCAATTGAATTACTAACGGCTGAAAATATAGTGCAGAATAGCTATTTTAGTAATTTTTTGAAATAACTATATTACGGAATCAAAAAATTCTTTAATCTGTTTTTAATAGAGTGTGTTATCAATCTTTGTATGGCATCAAAAAGAATTTCAACTATAATGTTTGCTGAAGATACCAAACATTATAGTTTTATCATGAAGATTTATCTCCGGAAAATTTGAATGAGAGAAAATATTTCAGAATGGTTTGGGGCAAACAAACTCTCTATTAACTTAAGTAAAAGGAAGTTTTATTTTATACATCTTTCTTTTTAAAAGAAATGCTCAAACTTCTTTTCCGTTTGTTGAAAATAGAAAAGTAGCGCTAGTGTTACAAAATTTTTGAGTGTTTTTATTGATGAAAATTTAAATTTGTTTAAAAAAATTGCCTACTTAGGTAGTAAAATATCCAAAAGCATCGGAATATTATACCATTAACGTTACTTATTAAGAAGCCACTACTTAATAAATCTACAATAGTTTTGTCCAAAGTTATCTAAACTACGGTAATATAGCATGGGGTCATATACCTATAAAACTAAGCTAGAATTGCTTTATCGAAAACAGAAGTATCCTATAATTGTGATTATCTTTAAAAATTAAAAAAAAAAATACTTAAAACATCTTTTTAAACAAATGCTTTTATTATCATTTTTGAATGTAATGTTTAATCTTATGTATAACAGCAAAATGCAAAAAAAATTTTCAATTTTCTATAGTCTTTGTAAACAAACACCACATTTAAATATTTATTGCGCACAAATCCTGTTAGAGGCTTCATGCAAAAACAAGCTTGAGCAACTTAAAATTATCGTTCACCTCATCATATTTAAATGTTCTTCTCATATCTGAAATAATTTTTTACTACTTAATTTTAATAATATTCATTTAATAAATCTATTAAAAAGAGGAATTTAAAATATAAAAATTTAGTTACTGATTTTTTCTAAATCTATTCTCTGAAAGCTTTATTTTTTATTATACAAAATATACTTTGAACAACGCATTAGCAATAAATGTGTAAACGATATTATCTGTATTATACAGATAATATCGTTTACACATTTATTGCTAATGCGTTGTTCAAAGTATATTTTGTATAATTTTTGTTCAAAGACAGTTCAAAGAAGTTCAAAGAAGTTCAAAGTATATTTTGTATATTTTGTATAATTTCAAAGTATATTTTGTATAATAAAGTATATTTTGTATAATTTTTATTTAACAAAGTTTTTACATAAAATCATTGCATTAAAATGGTATTAAAATTACAGATAACAAGTATACAAACATATTTATCGTCTATAATAGACGATAAATATGTTTGTATACTTGTTATCTGTAATTTTAATACCATTTTAATGCAATGATTTTATGTAAAAACTTTGTTAAATAAAAATTAAAAATAAAATTGGGTAAGAATATTATCAAAATAATTTTATAAAGCAATTAATAATGTGAGTGGGCTGTAGCATTTTTTTTTTTTTTTTTTTTTTTTGAAGTATAATAATAACTTAAAATTTTCGAATTTAACAAAAATCTATTTTCGTCATTTAAAAATAATTTTATGCATAAAAAAGTGAAAGTTCTACCTTAAAAATGCTGTCGTTTGTTTGAACTTGAGGTGCAAGCGATTTTTTTTTTTTTTTGCAACTCCACAAGTTAACTAACGCATTTTTTTTTTAAATCCTAAATTTATTTAATTTTAGAACTAAACGCTTTTTTAAAAGCATGATTAAAGTTTTTGAAAAGGTATTATTTTGAACTAATCTAATAAAGTTAATTAAAAAATGTTGTAATATTATTATAATATTTCTTTTAGACAAATTACCACTATTTATGTTGTGCAAATTATTATCCTCTGATTTTGCTTGATTCCAATTTCGGTGAAACATTTTGCATAAATTAAGGCTGATTAAATATTTTTTTTGTTTATAGATTCTTCAGAAACAATTTTTTTTTGTTTATAATTATTTATTTATGATATAGATTTTTCAGTTCACTTCAATTATTTATAATATACATACTTCAAAAATTAGGCTTTTTATAAAAAATTATGGTCTTTAAGGCATAAACCTGGTGTTGCTGAAAAAGACTGATCCCGATATATGTTAGTATTTCGATGAGGCGGGTATTTTTACAAGTCGGTTTATTTTGGCGAGTTAAACCTGACTTTTTTTGTTTGCTCTTTTTTTTTTTTTTTTTTTTTTTTTTTTTTTAAAGTTTACAATGTTAGTCGCGATTAGGGTTTCCAATTATCCAATAGTAATGACTATTCTGATATCGAATACTCAAAATTCAAATTATTCGAATATATATTTTTAATGTATATATATTATATACATTAAAAATCCAAATCAAAAATATTGTAAAGCAGTTATACTATTTAATTTTATTTTTTAAAATTTATATTTTTTATTAGCATAAAATTACTGGAATGATTATCGAGAGATTCAAGTTTTAAGCGAGTACTAATTTTTGTCCTAGTTAAACCTTAGTTAAAACAACAAACCTAGTTAAACCCTGTTAAAATAAAGTGTAAAATTAAACAAAGTTTAATTGCAGGTTATAAGTTTTTTTGCTTAGGCCTAGTTTTTCATAAAGTTTATGTTTTCCGCAAAAAAAACAAAGTGTTTTTAATTGCAGGTTTAACTAGGACAAAAGACTAAGTTTTTTTAATTGCAGGTCTTAGTTTTTTTTGTGCTCTAGTCTAGTTTTCAATGAATTCCACCAAGTTTTGACACTAACCTTAACTGCAATGTCTTGCCCGCTTCTTCATTAACATATCCTTGTAAAATATTGTTTTCGACTGAAGAGAATGATATTATTTTTATTATTATTTTTAGGTTTTTTATAACATCTTGAAAATCTTCAATGAGATTAATATAAGAATTAATAAAAAAATGACTAAAATATTTTTTTTTTAGTTTGTAGAAAATGTTTGTAGCCTCAAATCTATTTATATTTAACTTTTCATTAATTTTTCGACAGACGATATTTTCAAACTTAACAAAAATCTGTTTTCGTCATTAAAAAACATATCATTTTATGCATAAAAATTGTAAGTTTTACCTTAAAAATGCTTGCTGTCGTTTGAAAAACAGTATTTTTGGATACAATATTTTTACTAATTAATATTTGTAATTCTATTATGGGAAACTTTTTTCACTTTGTGACATTTTCATGGTTAACAAATTAAATGATGGTTGCTTTTTAATGTGTTTATACGGCTTTTAAAATTAATTTTGAAGGTTTTAAATCAATACAAATTTAACCATTTTTTAGACTTAGTAATTACGGTATAAAAAGCAAAAATCTAAAATGGTTTAGTTGCTATCTAAACAATCGGAAACAAGCTTTATATTACAGTAAAACTTATACTTCCCTTGAAACCTTTACTTGTGGCGTTCCCCAGGGATCTATTCTAGGTCCTTTGCTTTTTCTTGTCTATATTAACAACATATTTTTATCTTCTTGTATACTAAATTTTATCCTTTTTGCTGGTGACACCTAAGCTTTCTACACCCACTCAAATATTAAAACTATTTTTAACACAGTAAATCAGGAGCTTAAAGAGCTAATCGATTGGGGAAGGCCAACAAACTTTACTTGAACATTAAAAAAAGCGAATACATTATTTTCACAAAACCATCAAAGTCAGATACGTTACCATTAAAACTTCCAGATATTTTAGTTGACAAAACAAAGTTAAAAAGACCATTTTCTGTGAAGTTTTTAGGAGTCATTTTAGATGAACGTATTAACTGGAAAGAGCATATCAAGTTGCTAGAAAATAAAATATCTAAACTAAGTGTATTTTAAATAAAGTATGCCTAAAAAAATAATACTTTGCATTTGTTTATAGCTACATTAGCTACTGTAATGCTGCCTGGGCAAGTATTTACCAATCAAAACTAGCCTTAGCCTATAAAAAACAAAAGCAAGCATGTCGCATATTCACTAATGAATATGCTAGTGCTAAACAAATAAAGAAAGAGCTGAGAGTTTTTAATATTTATGAACAAAACATCTAAAACATCCTTCAGTTTATGTTTAAATAAAAAAATAATTTGGTCCCAAAAATGTTCCATAATTACTTCCAACTTGTTGATCATAAATTCGAAACAAATTATTCTAAGCAGAACTACTATATTCCACAAATGTCTTGGAGACAATCCAAATTCTCAATATATAGAAGAGGACCACATTTGTGAAATTCATTACTCACAAATAAGATTAAAACGATAAACTCTTTTCAACATTTTAAATGCGTTGTAAACAACATTTATTTGACCTCAACATTACTGAAACAATCTCTTATTTTAAAAAAACTCTTACACGTCTTAAAATTTTTTTTTATTATTTCCATAATCGCTGGAAATCCTTATGGTTATATTTATAGAAATGCATTTAATTGTATTTAAATTTATAAAGGTACATTAATTTGGCTATATCAATCATACGAGGGTTTATATTTATATATATTTAAATATCTTTTAAGCTATGTTTATTTTATATTTAATTGATATTTATTGTAAAATAAATTGAAATTAACGGGGCAAAATGATGAGACTATTGTCTTCAGCGTGCTCCAGTCAATTTATTATGTTAACAATTTTGTAAAAAAAAAAATATATTTATATTGACGAAAAAGATTATATATCTATCTAGTCAGACTTTAAAAGAGAGAACTTTTTGATCTTTATTAATAAAGATTGAAAGGTCTTTCAGTCTTTCAGTGAACCTTAAAGTTTATTTTTTTATGAAACATACAGACATAGAACCTTGCTAAAGTTTATATATTGACATGGAACATGTAAGCTAGTTTTGCGATAAGTACAAGTTTTCGTTTTTAAAAACTCTATCGTTCAACTTTTATTATTTAAAATATAAATCAATTTATATATAAAGTACTTCACCAGTAGTATCGTACAACTGCATATAAAATTTGAATTTGAGTATGCTTCAAAGCCAAACACATTATATTTTAATAAAAACACATTTATTGATCTTTTCGAATTTACTTAAACACACTTATTTTTTTTTATTTCTATAAACTAAAAACACTTAAAATCCCCATCACCAAGATAAACTTTATTGAAATTTTAAAACTTTTATAAGTGAAAATTCACTCAACATTTAATTAATTTTGATACCTTTTAACTAAAATAAAATGAATTTCCTGTGTTGATAGTAACACAACACTCGTTTTGATAAACTTATTTTATTATTACTTTGAACTTTATTTCAAAAATCTTCTTGTATTGATTTTAATTATATTTTTCAACTCTCGCTTCTCTTTCAAAATCAGTGAATCAGATTGCTCATATTTTTGCCTGTTCTGAGTATATAGTATGATATTTTTGCCTTGATTTTTCCCTTACTTTATTTTCCTGATTTTTATTTCAGTTATTATAAGCTTTTCCAGAATTAAAAAAGATTGGGAAATAATAGATGGAAAAATCATGTGCAGTTCAAATTAAAGCATTATTGTACATTTATTAAAGTATTGATAGTATGTTGTCATTGTTACTATTGTTATTAAAGTACATTTAAACTTTAATCAAAGTAAAATGTAAAAACGCTATGTCTTTATTGACTCTAAACTGTTGTGATAAATAGCATTCAGAACAAAATAAACTGAATTATACAATTAATGTAAAAGTAAAATATAAAACTAAAATCAACATATATTTAAAAAATGAAAAATAGACATACACCAAATGGTTCGGAAAAAATAATTCTGAAGGAATGATAAAAGTTTAAACAACTTAAAGATTTTTATTTCTTGTCAAAAAGAAGGAAATAGTATTGCAACATCAATATTAAAAATCTTTTAAAAAAAAAAAAAATAACTTGTATAATATACTTTTAAATATCTATTAAACATCTATATAAAGTTAGAATTTGCTCTATATAAATAACAAACTAATATTTAAAGTTTCAAAGACTTTTACTTTTCTTAAATAAATCAATTGTTACATCTAATTTTTTAATTTCTTCTTTCTTTTTTTTCTCTCAACTTGCAACTTTCTCAAGAATTGCAACTTTCTCAAGAATTGCTTCTGAATCACTTTTTAGCTTTTTTTTTTTTTACTTTTTCCAGAATAAACTTTTTAGTTTGTAAGTCCTTTATGTCTATAGCAAGTAAATCACTTTTTCTTTTTCGAGCATCTATAAGCTCAGTTTCTTTTCGAGTAGCCATTTCATTCTTTTGTTGACTTAGTGATTTTTTGACAGATTCTCTCAATTTCTTAGAGATAACTATAGATTATGAGTTTAAGTCAAGAGCTTTCATATGTTCATACAAAATTCTCTGGCTTATTAATGGTTTACTGATTAAATTAGGTTGTAACATATCCTTGTTAATGTTAAACCCTCTTTCAACCGCTGCTTGACCATGAAAAAGACTCAACACCATTTTGATTAATTTCGACAGTGCTGGATAATTATAATTAAAAATTAAAAATATAATAAAAAAAAAAATAATTAAAAAGAATTCATCCAATCTATCATCTATTTTGTTGCCATTCATAAAAAGTTCCCTGTTTATGGTAATTTTTCTTGTAATATTGTAGGTAATATAACAGTACTAATAAAAACAAGTTTTCAGTATGTGTAGTAATAAAGTACTAGTAATAAAAAGTTTATTGCTTGCAATTATAGCAAATATGCATAGTATACATTTTTCAAATTTGTTGTTAGTATA